GAAGATACTTTTCAGGCCTGACATTTAGTGCAGTGGAAGGGAAAAGTCCATGACTAACATCTAGCTAGAAACCTTAATAATGGCTCAGTACAGCAAACTGTGATAACCATGGACTACCGTGGGTCTAAATTGCTTGAATTCGGAAAGACTTCTAAGTAAGAAATGAAAGAACACATCACACACTGGCTTGTGAGGCTGTGGGACACAGGGCTAGATGGAATCAGTCTGAGTCTTCTGGATGTAGAGCAACTGAGCAATATAATTACTCATCTCAACTGACCCAAAGAATGCATAACCTGAGGGGAATATGAGTCATTAGACACACTTGGTTATCAACAGCTGAGGTCCCCATGAGTGTCAGGAACTGAAAGATAAAAGAGGGACGGGGAGGGAGGGAGGGAGGGACGAAGGGGAGAGAGGAGAGAGGAGTGAGGAGACAGAGAAAGAGACAGAGAAAGACAGAGAAAGCAATTCCTGAGAGAACTAAATATATGAAAAGCTGTGTTTGATGTTCAGTTCATGAAGCTGTATTCACAGGAGAGTTAAAAAAGTTCATGTAGAGGAACTTCACAGCTATATGGGACTTGTGTGACTTTGCTGGGTGATCATTCCAAGGCTGGAGAAACTTGGGATCTGAATGATTTAGACTAACTTGCAAACAGCATTTGTAAGGTGCTAAACACTCAGAATGGGGTGAGAAGGGCAGAGTAGACAAAGGTATCTGTCCGGTTCACTCAAAGAAAAATATGACAACATCTGTGTAGAGCCAGAATATCTAAGGAGAAAAAAAAATGTCAGAAATCCTGTTCAGTGCTTGTGAGTTTCTGGAAACTTTAAAAAAAAAATCAAACAACAGTTTACCATAGGGGTGAAAGAAGGATTGAATTACTAAGTAATACAGATGAAAGAAACTTAAATCATCTCAGAGGTAGGCAACCATCTATCCAAAATGTACAGTTGTAGATCTCTCCCTTTGGGTGGAAGTTGAAATTACTGACCCAGCCAAGCATCCTATCTGTAACACATGGTGCCATTGCAAAGGCAATGGTCTGGCCGGCCACAGTGATAAGACAGACCATCCTGGAAGGTCAAGGACACTAAAGCTAGGTATGGCAGGACAGAATGCAGCCTGCACTTCCTTGGTCTTATGCTTGTCGAAGCAGTGCAAGCCAACTTCATTGAGCTCATTGGGGGATCCGGAGATGTGCTCCTCAGACGCACCCCGTGATGGAGAAGTGGGATAGCTCATGGAGAATAACTTTGGGTTATAGAAATAAGGTAGTGGTTTCCCTGCATGTCACTCTACCCACAATTGCTCTTCCCAGTAAATAATTGATACAGATTATGGGATATTTTTGTGCTACAATGGAGCTTGCTAATTTTTTTAAGTGTCCCCCTCACAACTGCTGAATCTAAACTCCAATTGATGCTGGAATGGATGGCAGTGGGTCAGTAAAAAGGTTCCAATGTATGTTAATCCTTGAGTGATTACAGATTTGGAAAAACATCTGTAAGAACAGTAAAAACAGAAATTAAGAAAAAAAAAGGGATCTTTTGCATATATATTGTGGCTTCCAGTTTGAGGGAGGATTTCTGTGTGTTTGACTCTCTTCGTCTATATGTATTTCTTCTTCATTCTCTTTGGCTCTTCTTCCTGTTTGATTGTTTTGTTATATTCCAATTTTTTTTTTACTTATTATGTTTTATTATTTTTAGATGTTTTTTTGCTTTCTAAAGAGAGACAGGGTATGGATACAAATGGGAGGGGGGAAGGAGGGAGTAACTGGGAGGAGTAAGGGGAGGGGAAACCATAATCAGAATACATTGTCTAAAAAAAAAATCTACTTTCTATAAAGGAAAAAAAGAAAAAAAAACAGCAGTTAGAGTTTAAGTGAAGATACCTGCATGTTTTGAAAAAGGTACTCCCAGGGGCCACAGTGTTGCTGCGTAAAAGTTCCAGTGATCTACCACCCTGTGAGTCACTCAACACATGAGACTTCTGTAGCCTTCCCTGTTGTGGAATATTGATCTAAGATGTGTTCCAGCCATTTATGCTGTGGAATAGTTATTTAATGATGCAAAGATGTGTTGCATTCTTTTATGTTGCATTTGTTTAACTCTGTTAGGCTGTGTTACTTTGCCTGCCCAACACACATGATTGGTCTAATAAAGAGTTGAGTGGCCAATAGCTAGGCAGGAGAGGGCTAGTTGGGGCTGCCAGGCAGAAAGGATAAGTTGAAGGAGAAAAAGAAGAAAAGGAGGTGGAGTGAGAAAAGGAGGAGAAAGGATATCAGGGGCTAGCCACTCAGCCACGCAGACAAGACGTGGAATAAGGAGGAAAGAAAAGACATACAGAAATAGAAAAAGGTAAAAGCCCAGAGGCAAAAGGTGGATGGGATAATTTGAGTTAAGAAAAGCTAGTTAGAAATAAGCCAAGCTAAGGCTGGGCATTTACAAGTAAGAAAAAGTCTCCATGTATTTATTGGGGAGCTGGGTGGTGGGCCCCAAAGAGCAATGAAAGACTCAAAGACCAAAGAGCAAAGAGTAAAAACAACAACACCTCCCTCCACTCTAGATAGGCTACTGCATTGGTTGAGTGACAAAACCAGACTGTAAAATCTCTGCTGCTGGAGACATCATGTATTTGGCTGTGGGTCATGAAGCAATGAGGTTTGGACTGAGCTAAATAAATGCTCCCACACTGCTTGCTGGCTTTTCTATTGCTGGAAGATTCAGTAGACCAAGTGTGTGCATGCACATATGTATACAAATATGCATATGTATATGTATATAACAATAATTTAGAAAGAAGAGGCCATAGATTTAAGAGGGAATTGGTGAAGAAAAAGGCGAGGAAGGGGGTAGAAATGATGTAAATATAGTACTTATACATGAAATTCTTTTTAAAAATTTCAAATAAAAGTATACCTAAATGCATTTTATTTCTTTAAAATGCCCAATAATTCTTCCATTCTACAGTTCTTCCATAGTTTATATTGTCATTTTACTAAGTTTTTTGTATATTAAAATGTATACTTGAATTCTTGCTTCAGGATATTATTACAAAATTAAAAATTTAAATGTCTATTCTCATTATTTATCACAAATACTCTATTTGTATCAAGTGGAGAACATGATATTAGGAAGTCCTTCCTGATGCAAGATACTAATTGTTGTTCCATTTCTTTCTATATCTTAAGCACCACTGTGTGTTTTGTTCTCAGATGTATTATAGCCTTGACAGATTAGGACATGATCAGGAAAAAGAGACACTAAACCTATAGAGCAGTCCTTTTTTGATGCAGACTGTCAAAGCGGGTTACAACACATAATGAGATGTCACAGCCTGTGAGACATGCAAAGCCAGTTAAGAAAGCCTAACAGCACTGCCAAGTGACTTAATCCTGAGGGTGATAAATCTGGGCAGAAAGAAATCCATTTCCTGTCATTCTATTTACATGACTTAAAATATGTAGTTATCACAGCTTCAATAAAGGTCAAGTTCTTCATTTTAAAGGACACGTAGAATCTCTTTGGAAACAGAATGCACTTTCCTACCCGACTGCTGCTCAAAGCACTTGTTGTCAGCCACTAGGAAAGATTATGCCTTGATGTTAAATGTAAACGTGGCCCACACATTTATTGGTTTAAACTATGCTATTTAATTTGAGATGGAATTTCCCACTGTTGAGGCGTAGGTAGTTAGGATTCCATGGCTTTGCTTTTTATTTTGGTTTAGTTTATAGGCATAGTAAAGAAAAAGCAGCTACGGGTGTAGAATGCAGTTGTGTCAAATGGAGGGGACATGCGGCTTCTTTTGGTAGAAGAGGAGAAAATACTCTATTAATTCCAACTTGTTAGAATTTACCAAATCTCTGTAGTTCACTAGCTTTCCTCCTACCCCCTTCACATTTAAGAGTAGATAACAGGTAAGCAGCATCAGAGAGAAGCATTCTGTGCAGAGGGGGCAGGATATGCCAGTCTTCTTATAATAACAAACAGTGTTCGCTCTCTAGGAGGCAGACAGTATGAAGTGCAGCAAAAACTGTAATTATGCTCTCAGCAGGAAGCCTGTGTTAAGAGTGACAGCGAGAGTCTCTAAAAACCTGTGAGGTTAAGGTTGCTTGTCTTAATTATATGTATTAAGAGTTTGTGTCTTCACTTTTTGCCTTTTAAAATCCAAAGGAAAAAAACCCTAATTATAACTTGGACTCCAGTAAATTGGGCCCTATTTAAACAATGAGCATTTGGCTATCTCATCATGTGTCATGATGCCTCTGACTGGTTACAGCTGGTATGGAAGCCAAACTGGCTCATGCAAATAATTTGTTTTTGTTGCCTCCATGACAGAGGAAAAAAAAAACCCAAAACAAACAAAAGCTAAACAAGATAATGAAATTGCCCACCCCGCTTCTTTAGTCAATAACACCCAAGCCTGATGAGGGAAAGAACATCTCTTGAGGTATTCTTACATATAGAATCACATATTATCTGTGTGCTATTAATATATTTTTAGCTAGATGGATGTTGGATTAATTGCCTTAGATTATATTTTGCCTTTGTCTTGACCCTAGATATAGTAATGGGTGACAATTGTTCCTTGTTGGCTTTAGTGGAGTTATCCAGGGCTCCAAATTTTAGGTTTTTTGTCGTAAGTGAAGTAGCATGTGTTGATTAACATACTTTAGTGTCGTAGGACCAATCCTGTTGCATTCATCACAAAGATTGTCCCTGAACATTGAAGTTTTCTATGTGATGGATATTTCACTTGATTTATTGCATACAAGTTTCCCAATTTCTCAGCTGCCACAAAAATACTCACAGGATAATAAGTCAGAAAAGTTCAACCATTCTACTATCCTTGGATTATAATCATATAACTAAGTATAGAAATTTGGGGGCCATGAATTTCTCTTAGTGGATCCCCTTATAAGATGGCACTAGATTTTTATGCATTTAACAAGCATGTTCATTGCTACTTTCTCATTTCACATGTGCAGCTCAAAACTGGAGAGCGTTAAAATTTGCGGCATGAACTGGACAGATGGCTGATGGGTAATCACTGTACTCATATGACTGGACTAATGAATCACGTGCTATAAAAGTGAGTTGAATTGACTTGATTTTATACTTCTCTTTGGCTCCATTCCTGGAAGTTATGATGGACTTCATGCCTGCACAGTATTATGGTAGTCAAATATTTTTATTATTGAGTTACATGTTTCTGTAGTCTCAAGGCAGAAATTCTTTTCAGAATTTATATCTACTAAATTGAATTTCTGTCATCTGCCTTTAAGTAACCAAAGTAAAATCAGAATGGTTTCAAAAGGATCTAAACAAATGCTGAAGAATCTAGAAACTATTTGCATAGTTATTGGTAAGCCCCCTCCCCTCTGAAGTTTATAACTTAGGTTTTCAACTTTTAATTTTATTGAAATACCAATTTAGTCTTCATTATTGTTGGCTTGAGGAAACAATCACTGGTTCTAAAGTTAATAATAGTTTTATAGGAGAGGCTCATGGATTTTTACAGTGATAGGGATCTGTAGTCTAAATAATGGCATTTTTCTAATTAAGCAGCAATTGAATAAACACAATAAAATCAAGGATAAACTATTCATTTATTTTGATGTGTTTAGTTCAATTTAGTTTATATTTCCTAGAGTATTTGTTATTTCTCTGTTGAATAATTTATAAAAGTAATGAGTAACATGAATCATTGGGACAGTTTTTTTGTATTTTATCAAAATAAATTATTTGATGAAAAATGGAGCCAGGTTTACAGATGCAGCCAGAGACATTATTTGATGTCACTTGAATAAACACTATGTAGCAAGTTATAACCTTTCACACAATCCATTCCAAAGTGTGATCAATTCAAGAGGAAACTTTGTATTGCAATTAGTGGAGATAAATCATAAGAATAGGAGTTGGTTGAAATGGCAGAGAAGCTACCAGAGCACAGATCTCATTGCATTATGTGTGGTGCTTTGAAATCTCATGGAAGCAGAAGCTTGAGTCTGTATTAGCCATGCAATGTGGTGATTATCTTAAGTGTTCCAAAATTTGGTCATTCTGTATCAAAAGAAAATAACTAACATAATTTCACCCTTTTATAGAAATGAAATGGTAGGAAGGATCTGCTCTAGAAATCTTAAAAAATTATGTAGCATTAGCAAAGTCTCAGAACTCAAACTCAGCGTGTTTGTCTTGGCTTATTTCTTGTGAAGATGCTCAGTGACCAGCCATCCTGCAGAATCTCAGAAACATGTCACTATATTTTCAGAGTTTTTTTTCTTGAGTAACTGTCAATCATTTTCCTACCTTATAAGCAGAGTCATGTGTCAGGTCATGCCAGTGAGATACTGCCCTGTTTTGAATTTTCTCATTGAAGATCTTTGTCCCATTATTCTACTCTGAGAGGGTTTAGCAATTATCACTGTCAGGAAAACCTTCCCAAATAATTTGCACTTCTTTATGACCCATATTTTGGTTCTGTTCTCTATAGAAATGAATGGCAATTGGTTTAGATGACTGTCTTGTGACTGTTTTATATTGTTTTCATTTAAATTTTTTGTTTACTCTCCCTTTTGTTGTCTATTAAAAGCATTAAATATCTCCTCTTTCCTTTTAAGTTAACTCATACATATTGGGTAAGAACTGAGATTATTAGGGTGGTGTTTAAGATCTGTTGAGATTTTCTATGATGTTTTACGTTTGGACTTGGAAAGAGGTTTAACATGTAGTAATATAATCTAAGCTCTTGTCACACATACTGTCCTTACCCTTTGCTTAGTTTTATTAACTTAATCTTTCCTAGAATTTCCATTACTGCATAATGCCTGTAGATACTATAAGTGGGATAGATGTTATTAACATGAAGAACTAAACTCTTGTTTGTGTCTAGAAAATTTATTAAATGCTGTGGGATGGTCTGTATGTCAAATGTGTTGCTGATTGGTCAATAAATAAATCACTGATTGGCCCGTGGCCAGGCAGGAAGTATAGGCGGGACAAGGAGGAGAATAGAGCTGGGAAGTGGAAGGCTCAGAGGGAGAGACACTGCCAGCCGCCATCAGGACAAGGAAGATGTAAAGTACCGGTAAGCCACAAGCCACGTGGCAAGGTATAGATTAATAGAAATGGATTAATTTAAGCTGTAAGAACAGTTAGCAAGAAGCCTGCCACGGCCATACAGTTTGAAACCAATATAAGTCTCTGTGTTTATTTGATCGGGTTTAAGCGGCTTGGGACTGGCGGGTGAGAGAGATTTGTCCTGGCTGTGGGCCAGGCAGGAAAACTCTAGCAACAATTAAATGCAAGAATATTGGTATTTATTAAGTAAATGGATTATACTCCTTAAAAGTAAATAGTTATCATATTTTATCTCACCTATACTTTAAAAAGTATGTGTTTGTGTGTATATATGTAGTATATACATGTGGAAGAGTGGTACATGTGTGCCCATAGAGGGTGTCCTGATCTACTGCTCCCCTATGCCCTTGAGACAGGGTTCCACTGAATCTGAAGTTCACCAGCTTTTTTGTTTGTTTGTTTGTTGTTTCTCTGATAGATTGGGTATTCAGCACGCTCCAGTGTTCCTCCTGTGCTTCCTTATCTCCTTTCAATCTCAGAGCTAAAGTTAGAGTCACAGGCAAGGAAGACCATTCTCAGCTTTTGTGTGGGTCTTAGGACTCAGAACTCAGGTCCTCTGAACCCAGGTCCTCGTGCTTGCTCAGCAAGGGCTCTTACCCACTGAACTCTCTCTAGCCCTTATCTGTACATTTAAGACTCGGTTTTGGGTTGTTGATGATGCCAAGGAATTTGATTTTAAAATATTGTAGAAATGATTTTATGCCATGTTAGAGAATTAAATGTTTTTTAAAGCAGTTGCTATTATATTTAGCATTTACAGATGTACTTTCTTGTTAAAAGATGAGTTTGGACGCCATTATGGCTTAAAATGGAAGAGTTTAGGCTTGTACTTTGGTTTAGAGGTGAAAGTAATACAGAGTGTTTCTTAGAGGTGAAAGCCTATGTCTAATGTCTTAACCATGGCTCCTGATATCATGGCTTCTTAAAAAGATTTAGGGATGCTGGGAGATGGCTCAGACAGCAAAGTACTTTCTGCACAAGCCTGAGGATATGAATTAGATCTGCAGCACCTATGTACAAAGCTGGTGTGATAACACATGCTCATAATCCCATTTCTGGGGAGGTGGACATAGATCCCTGAGGCTTCCCGGCCAACTTGTCTAGCTGAATAAGTGAGCCTTAGATTCAGGGAGAGAACCTGTCTCCAAAAGTAAGGTGGAGAGCAATTAAGGAAGACGATGATGCCGACCTCTGACCTTCACCCACATGCACATATGTGTGCATACATGTCAACAAGTGTTCACACAATCAGGTATTTCCTCATTCCAACTGGTTAATTGTTTAAAGATTGGGCCATAGCAGCCCACTTGTTTGAGGCATACCTTGAAGCTCAGGTAAATAAGTGGATTTACAGGAAAGGACAGAAGGAGTTAGGCAGACAGGTGAAGCTGGACTTGTCACTTGGCCTGATTTCTTGCAAATTTATTTTCATTGCTAAAGAGTGAAGCTGGCACCCTGCATGCCCAAAGGCAACCTCTCTACCACTGAGTTACATTTCTCAGCCCTCCTCAGATGCTTCTTTTCTCTGTTCTCCCCCAGATTTTGTTTTAAACATAAACTGGAATCTTGATTTAGGATGGTCTCTTAGTTTTAAAGAGTAGGTCTGTGTTTTCCATCTCAGACTTGTTTATAAGAAACCCGGGGCAGTGCCACTTGAGTAGAGGAATTTCTTAACTCCAAAATTTATGAGTCTTCTGTCTATTAGAAGAAAAATATGGAATTTTCCTTCCTTGAGACATGTTTTTATTGGGACAGACTTCTTGCCATTGCCGCTTAAAACTGATCCCCAAAGAGCAAAGCCTCATGAATCTTTGCCTTGCTTGCCTTGGAGCAGGGCCAGAAGCAGCACACTGTCGAGATAAACATCACTCAGGCTAAAAGAATGGCACAGAAAATGTCTCAGGTGGAGTGTTTCTGGTTTCCTCTGGCATGGACAGTGCTTCACAGTGTCTTCCAGATAAGTCTGAAAAAAATCCAGTGTGAAGCAACTTTATTTTTTGATACCCACTTCCTGTATATTTTATCAAAATGTGTCTTGGGCATGCTAAATAATGTGGTTCTGAATATTGGAATTTATTGCTTGAAACTTGTGGACATGTACTTCTCTGTCATTGAGCCAGGATTCTCAATACTGGTTGTGTTTACCATGGTGTCTCATACACTGATTTTAGGCCAGAGTGTTGCCCAAACCAGGTTAAATATATATTGAGTAAATGAATCCAGGTCCCTGTCAATCAAATTTTGGTGAGAAATATAAATCTGGGATTCTGAAAATTATACATGATGAAGCATTTGATCTGTAAGTGACCATGTTAATATTTTTTTTAAACCCACTATACCATCCAATCATCTCTTTTTCAATCAAAAGATATTGTTTTGTCCACAATTAGTATTGTGTGAAGAGTTAACATGCAGCAGTGAGCTGTTTCAGACCCCTGAGATATATCAGGGCTCACAGAGTTCTTGTCCTGCCCTCCTGATCTGAGCATTTTGTGTTTGGCATTAAGTAATCATAAAAGTATTTACAAAATAAGGTGAATAATGTAGAGACCAGCATGGTCAGAGAAGGGGAAAGTTGTGCGTGGCTAAGTAGAAGAAAACTTGCCAGAGATTGCTAGGAGGCAAGGGGAGCTAGGGCATCAGAAAGCAAAGTTTCCTAGTACTACATAAAATGGTGTGTGTGTGCATGCGTGCACATGTGCGTGTGTGTGAGCGCGCGCGCGCACACGCGCACACACACACACACTCCCATGTGCTTTTGCACTTGACTAAAAAAGGTGACGAAATAGGGAAGAGAGAGAGGAAGAGGGAGACAGAGAGACAGAGACAGGAGAGAGAGAGAGAGAGAGAGAGAGAGAGAGAGAGAGAGAGAGAGAGAGAGAGAGAGAGAGAGAGAGAGAGAGAGAGCTACAGAGGTAATAGTTCTATTCTTCCATTCCTGTCTGCTGA